GGATTAAAAACCTCAGCTTTGGCCCCAGGGATGCTTTCTTAACACAGTGAACACGGGACAGTGCCTATGACGAAACGTAGGAGCGTGACCACAAAGTTGTCATACTGTGCTCAATGTGTTAATCTAAAACCTATGTTTAATCAAAAGTGGGTTACTGTTCATAAAACCTCCCCAAAATCAATGAACCCAGAAGAGTTGGTGAAAACAAAAGCAACCAACTAATTAATCCTGTCAATATTTGATAGAGATAAATAAAGCACCTGTAGTTTGCTCACCTTCCATTATTAAGTAGAGAATTATATCTACTTTTTCTGCCACTTACCTATATTAGGAGACTTGTTTTGTAACCCATGTATTTTTAACTGGTAATGTCCAAAGTACATTTAATTCTAAGCACATACAACGTGACACACAGCACTGTCATTTAGTTACTCTGCAACGGAAGACTGTTGTGTTGTTGACCTTCAACTTATTTTTGATCTATTTGTGATTTTTGTAGTGATCAAATTAGCTGGACTTTGGACAAGACCCTTAAGCCTCACGAGTGCAGTAAATGTTATTCTTTCAAATATTACAATTATGTAGTCTATATGGTTTCTAGTGTTATGTACAGCTGTTTGGAATAATAAGCCAGAATAGACCAGGTGTTTTCTCTTTAACATGCTGATATGAATATTGAATACAATGAGAAATATTGGTGGTTAAAGTGGTTGCATAGATGTAGTTTGTTGACTATTAGTTGTGATAGTGTTTTATCTTTTCAACACCATTATTAGATATAGACTTACAGGTCTTGTAGAGGCTCTCTTCCTTTTCTCTTTTCATGTTCCTCTGAGCTGATTTTAATGAGGCATGTTAACCAAATTCATATATTCTAGGTATATCACAAAATTCATTTTTGTTGAAGAATTACATCAGAATTGACTTACAATTTTAAAAGCTGTGTGGATATGTCAAATCAAATCATAATCCCTATTTCTTCATTAAAACAAATAATCAAGTTTGAATTGTTTTATTTGAAAAGTGTTGTGACTCATGTCGGACTGAATTACTTCATCACTGTAATGTTTCTTATGGGCCTCTTCAACTGATTATTCACTATTCTTTTGAAGTATTAGCATGTAAGATCTGATCCTGAACAAGTTTGTATCATTTGTTACTCATTTCAAATGAATGAATGAATGAATGAATTTTTTTGTATAATTATTCAGACTTGGTTGTCAATATTTTACATTAATTGTTCTTTTAATCAAACTTCAAATTTGTAGTCACAGTTACAATATCCAATGCTAAATTGCAATTGAAATCTGTGTCTGAAAAAGAACTTGCTGACCAAATATGTTTCTTAAAGGGGTTACTCGATTTTATATTTTATCTCTTTCTTATGTAGTATGGTTTACACCTTGGGATGTGTAGGTAGTGCAATTCTTTTGATAGTAAATATTGTCATCATATGTTATTGAGTGTAGCGTATGGGAAACGTGTCGGATGGTTTACCAGCCCCTTTTGTTTACTGTATTTTTGAGGATTGTGCTGGTAGATCAACCGGCAGAGCTTACGTTCCTGGTAAGTAGTTGTGTACAGAACAAAATTGCTCTCTCCATTGGGGCTATTGCAAAGTTGAGGATAGAAACTTATATAATTATACTTTTTCAGTCACATTCTTATAATTGTCCTTATTTATTGCTGTTGACACCTTTGTATAAAAGTTCAGAAAGTTGATAATTGTATCACTTCTGTGTAAAAAGAAAAAAAATATGTAGTAGCTTTTTAAAAAGCCTCATTACATGTAGTCATTGTTGCAAAAAAATCCTTTATTAAATGTTAGGTGCGAATCATTGTACGGATACATCAGCCTATAGATGGTGTGAAAGTGACAATTTTATTGAGGTTGGTATGCATTAAATGGTAGAGTGAAGAGTTGTTTTCTAGGATCCCCTTTAAAGTGGCTTTTTACTTTAAGTGATTGTAGTTTTCAAGATGAATGTTTTGGATTCATAGAAATTTATTCCACATTCCCAAACAGTTTGAACTACAGGTCATGATGCTCTGATGTATCAAAATATTATACGATGGAACCTCTTAATCAAATTTATAAATATTGTGTGAAGAACTTAAAATGTGTGTGCTCCGGTTTGTCTAAGACTACAGCCCAGTTCTGATAATGTAAGCAAATTAAATTAGGAAATTACAATCAGAGTCTTTTGTGATAGCTGTGGCCTTCCCATGACAACCTGATTTGGGGTAATGAAGCTGTGCCAGACTTCTTAGATAATTTGTTTTGTAATCTGCCAAATATGAGTGTTCACGAGAAGAAAGTTAAGTTTGAATGAGTGGCAGTGTCATCTGCAATGTGGCTTTTTATTTAAAGCCATTCTTTTCTGGTAAGTGTTAATCTGTTCAGAATCTTATAAGACTGTTAATGAGTATTTTGCATTATGATTATTTTCAAGTCTGACATAGCTACATTACCAGTTCTCTTTTTAAGTTCCAACATGTTACATACTTGCTCTTTCATTTAGTGAGTGCTACCTTTTATCTTGTAGGTAATATATCAAAACTAAAATTTTCAAATGTAAAAA